CCCCCACGCCCCCGATAAAAACACTCTCAACCCTATGTTGTTTTTGCTCCTCGGGAAAATATCAGACAGCTCTAGGGTAGGACGATATGAACCATGAATATTATTATCTACATCACAGTATGCCCATAATAAAAAAAAAAATTAAAAGTTTGAAAGTTTATCTGGCTTACATTCTCATCACAAAAACAGCAGCAGCTGCAGCAACAACAACAAAACAACAACTTAAAAAATCACTTGTTCAAAATCGAACCAGAGATTGATCGAACTTTACTCCATCCTTGATAACTACTAGGCCAGATAGCGGTAGATATTATGACACCATAATTCGTCATTTCTATTTTCAACAACTTACCTTCCACGTCGACAGACGACAGCCAAAAACTCCTCGTGATCACCACCACAAGATAAACAAAACAAAATATGTTTCCATTCATGAGACCGTGGGCGGTTGGCGGGTGCTCTGGTGTAGTCTGCTTCTTCTTTCCTGTGAAACATCTATCGTCCTGATCTCTCCTCCGTCTTTTTGTGTTTGCTGCTCTCTTATAACACCTCTAATCTTCGGCAATTATATTATGACCTTATTGTGTTGCAAGTGCCGTAAAAGTCTTACTAAAACAAAATTTATGAGACCAGACAGGCGAAGTACAAGTGTCGCACTCAATATCATTCGGCGATTTTTTCCTTGTTGTCCGCTGTGCAACGTTCACACACACACGAGCGCGCGCAGATCACTTAAATAACTAAGCCAACGCGTCGTAGACCTTTTAGCGGGTCAGAATAAACTAAATCAATCTCTAGTCTCAACCCAGGATGATATGTATGTAATTAACCCTTGCTCTACGGACGGTTGTTCAGGATCTGCTTAACTAATTAACTCTTGCTACACCAAAGGCTGTTCAATATCTGATTAATTTTTTTGTTTTTGGTAAGTGTTTTACGGCGCTCATCCTAATTAATTAATTAACTCTTGCTATACGAAAGGCTGTTCTTTACCTAATTAACTAATTAACTTTTGCTATACGAAAGGCTGTTCTGTACCTAATTAACTAATTAACTCTTGCTATACGAAAGGCTGTTCTGTACCTAATTAACTAATTAACTCTTGCTATGCGAAAGACTGTTTTATACCTAATTAATTAACTCCTGCTAAACCAAAATTTTGGCATCCAAATTTCCAGCAGAGCAAACTTCCCTATACCCCCGCTTCTGTTTAATCTATTTACATACTGCAAACCGGGGCAACTAAGGCATATAGCTGGGAAAACGTTATAATGATTTTGAGACTATGTTTTTCGATATCAAAAGTGATTTGGGGTATTTTTCCAATGCACTACCCAAAAGAGTAATCATTTGGGGTGTATTTCAATTTTCCCAGCTATATGCGTAATAAGTCCCCCCAGTTTACTGTAAACTAAACACCAAACTTTGTAGAAATGAATATTCCGAGAGAAAAAAACTCCCGTACAGTTTGGTTATAGATAACAGAGATTGTCTGAGGTCTGCTAGGTGTTTGTTACGACTGTAAACAACCGAGTGGTGCCGTGAGTCAGATGAACTGGGCCGATGAATTTACCTGGATACTTGGATACCTGGATTCCTGGAGGTGTCATCTCTGACTCAGACATTGACGTGAAATGACCCTCCATCTTTCACAGTCGCGAGCTGCTGTTGCACATTCTGCCATATCCAGGCCAGTCCATGTTCTTAAGTTGTCCATCCACGTTATTCTTTGTCTTCCTCAGGCTCTCTCGTCCCACATCTTTCCTCGGGGGCTCTCGTGGTCTAGAGGTTAAGGTGTTGGCCTCTCATTCAAAGGTCCCGGGTTCGAATCCGGGTAGTGACCCAAACATTTTCTTCTCTAAAATTGTCTCATTTCACCTCCTTTAATTGCTCTCTAGCAATGTTCTGTTGTCTGCTTTCATTTTCACTTTCTGCCCCCACCCCCTCACCTCCTTTGCCCCCTCCTCTGGGCTCCTGGCTCTTTCTGCAGCCTTTCTACTGCTACTCCTTGGCTCCTCCTTACTGTTGTCTTTCTGCCACACCCCTGATCTTCTGGTAGGAAAGATCTACACCTAGCCTTCTCGGACAAGGGCGAAAAATCTCGGAGGGCCCGTATGCAAGTTGCGCACGTTAAAGATCCCTTGGTGGTCTAAAATCGATAAAAGTAGGCTTCGGCCGCCACCCTGGTAAAATTCAAAATTTCATACCAACTGAAAATATTAGGTGTGTCCCGCGCGCTCATATGACCTTATGCAGTTGCGAGCGCCTTAAAACACTTTACAAAAACAAACAAAAAGCATCTTTCCTCCAAGCACCTCTTTCACAACGGTCTCGTATACTTAGAATTAAAAAAGCAACAACAGCCAAAAACAAAACAAAACCCCAGCCCCAGCCTCTTGAGACAGACACTTGTTGTCTGATTGGTCACCGCGACTCTCAACTTTGACTTCTCCCCTCTCTGCCCTGACCTACGAGAGCAGGACAAGACCTATAGTAACACAAAGGCCTATACTAGCTATCTATCTAGTGTCTGGTATACTACAGTTTTTTTATGTTGGAAAAACGCTACTCAAAAACATACCCCCCTCCCCCACCCCCACCCCCCCAAAATTTTTTTTAAAAAAATGCTCAGTCGATATGCTATTATTTGACAGCAGATTCTATATTTCGGAAATGAACATTTGATTCGAATGTCTCACCTCTTAAAAACCTTTCTGTGTTGAAAGGAGGCGCTATTTTGAATGCCATTAAAATTATTTTAAAAAATAATGAAAGGGAAGAAATGAAATAGATCAAGGTGTAACTAGAAAGTAATATACACAGAAAAGAAAGAGGAGAGAAAGCGACGATAGAATGTCTGACAGGAACAACGGAGGAAACCCCAACTAAACAAACCAAAGGAAAAACCCAAATAAGCGCTGCATGTCTCCAGTCCCTGTTCTGTGGGTTTTATCTTCACTCTCGCTGAATCGAACTTTGAAGTTGAAGTTGGGGGAGGGGTGGGTGAGGGGGGGGGGTTCTGTTTTGTATCCAATTTACCATGACCCTACTTGTATGTAGTAGGCCTACATCATCCTATAAGAGTCCGATCCGCGTATGATGATTTTGGCGCATCATGGGCTTCATTCCTGCATAAGTTTCATCACGTTCCCCTCTTTAGAATCGCAATAAAAAGCAAATAACAGTTTCACTTCTCATAGCTGTTTGCTTCAAAATTAGCTCATTTTGAGATGTGCGGAATGGATTTCAATATTGCTACAACTAGGATGACGCAGCAAGAATTACTACGGAACCGACAGTAAAGCCAAGAATTCCTAAACTGCGTATCATATGATACGCTTTTGTGGATTGATCGTTTCCTGTGTGTTAATCATTCATACATAGAGGTCTACCTACTTTAAACAGTTGTTTTGCTCCTCCTGAAAAATTCGATAAAACCTTGATACGTGGAACTGGCTCATATACGAGGATGACATGAAGTACATAGAAGTAGAAGCACATACAAACCGGAGCCTGGGCCGTGCGACAGAGGCTGAACGTTAGAGGGTTGACCTACAACTGTTGACACACGACACCTGACACATAGAAAGTTAGAGGGCTGACCCACAGCTGTTGACACATGACACATGACACATAGAACGTTAGAGGGTTCAGCCACAACTGTGTTGACCCACAACTGTTGACACATGACACATGACACATAGAACGTTACAGGGTTGACCCACAACTTCTGACACATGACACATCACATAGAATGTTAGAGGGTTGACCCACAACTGCTGACACATGACACATGACACATCACATAGAACGTTACATGGATGACCCTGAGCTGATGAAGATACATCGCTACCCTAGAATGACCAAGTTCTGTCTGCTCAGTACCTAGATTTAGTTTTGAACAATTTGACGTCATTTTTTTTTAGTTCCACAACATGTCAAGCTTTTCCGAAAACATTTCTTTCAATATCTTGATAACGAATCTTACTATTTTGGTTGAGCAGATAAAACATTTGATTTCTGACCCCATTGTCTAAGTAACTCAAAATAAAACTCTAATTATTCGCTTTTAAGCACAAAGGGGCTATCCCGAAAAATGCTGTTTTGAGAAAACAGAAGGTAAAGTTTTTGCCCCTTGTTTAGTTTCTTAATTAAAAAAAACCAAGGAGAATTTTCTCTATAACCGAACAAATATGCACACCAATGAAACGAAACTTCTCACATAGGTAGGGCAAGGCACACTATTGGTGTAAGTCAAGATTTCTGGAAACCTCCGAATTCTGGGTTAGCCCGCTTGTCCTTCAAAGCGACTAATTCTGAGGTAGTGACATCACATCACTCGCCAGAGAGTAGACATGACCCTCAGATGGTGACAAGATACACAACTTACTGTCTGACCTCTACCCTACCATCGCTACTTATCTGAAATATCTCAAAGGACAAAGAGAAAAAAAATCGAACGTGTATTTCAACCTTGACGTGACTCAGTTAAACTGAATCCACCGAGATAGTTAGTGTTTTTTTTATTTAGGGTTTGGTCTCGTTGTTTGTTTGTTTGTTTGTTTGTTTCATTCATTTATTTATTTATCTGTCTATTTATTTATCTATTTGTCTATTTATTTATTTGTTTGTTTATTTGTTCATTTGTTCATTTCTTTCTTTCTTTCTTTCTTTCTTTCTTTCTTTCTTCATTTGCTTATTTATCTATCTGTCTATTTATTTATCTATTTGTTAATTTCTTTCTTTCTTTCTTTCTTTCTTTCTTTCTTGCAGAGTAGTATTTACCCTGTCCAAGAAGACCACCCAGACAAGGAGTAAAGTGTACGTCTTACACAGGTTCCGCTCTAGATCTAGGTACGTAGATCTATGCATTAAGGTCTGATTGTGACTATGACTATCTTTTTTTTTCCAATTGTTTGTTTTGCTGACCAATCC